GTCAAATCTTTATTTACACAACACACCTCACTTTGTCAATCTTAAGGAAAAAAAACGCAGATAGGGAATGATCTTCTGACTGTTATCTGCAATTCAACCTTTTTATTTTTATTTTTATTTTACTTTTTTTTTGTGTGTGTAAGATTTTTAAATCTTAAAGTAATAATGAAATAGTATTGTTGGAAAATCTCTTTATTAACTGAGGTCACTCCTTACTACAATATTAACAAAATAACAAAAAGCAAGTGATGTATGTTTAATGAAAATGCAGTGTCACAGCTCAACCCCAGTGATTGAGCACTTGATGGAAGGCAGGGCCAACTCACGTGAGCTCAGCTGCATGCTGTGTACCCGAGTGTCCAGAAGGGGTGGAGCGAGGATCCCTCCTTCCCACACCTCATTTAAGGGCCGGCAGTGGATTTAAAAGTATCTTGCTGAAGATCCCTGCTTACCTGAAGTCTTTTGAATGTATGCAGTTTTCTGTCTGTCCTTTCTGTTCTTCCCTCCCTCCACAGTTGCTGTATTTGGGCTCATTTACTGAAGCCTAGGATTGTGCCTCTGTGCTACTAATGCTATACTTTCTATCACATTATAGTATTACAGTATGCTTTAATAAGAAGAATAAAGTTTTTAAATCTGAAGATAATGCTAAAATTGAGGAAAACAATGATCTACATTTGTTATCCATTGGCATATGTTAATTCTCAAGTGATTGTTTTCCTGACAGTGTTGTTCTAGTTGGTGAATAGTGAATCCCATGTTGTTTGTGAAGCTAATTTTTTTTAAATTTTTTTAAGATTTTTTTTATTTTAGTAATTTTGAGGAGGGAAGGTAGGAAACTGTTTCAGGGCATTCAGGGCAAATAGAAACTTGAAAGTAGCTGGTCCTGAACCATTTCTATGAAGAATAGTATAGAGACATAATAAAGCAGGCACATTTTTTAGGAGTCTTGTACTGGGAAAACAGGCTAGTCTTTTATCTTTAAATCTGTTATCTCCAAATACTAACTTCTATACCTATTCCTATCTAAACTGTTCCTTTTGTAAGAAGTCTTGCCTTTTATAAACTATCTTGAATAGATTTAAGAAATCTACTGGTCTATTATTTTCACTTATGTTTTGTTTTTCACTTTAGTTAAGTGCTCCTTAAGAATATTGTTAGTTGATTTATAAATAAATGTATGCATGTAGCTTTCAATTTAATTATAAAGATTTGAAATGTTGAAGCATATTCAGTGATGATTAAGAAGAAAAATTGTTGTATATTCCTGTCTAGAATGTGGTCCAGATATGTAAAACTACCTCAATGTAACTAGTGCTTTTTTTTTATTATTTTTTATTTTTTTTTTACATGGGTGTTGAATGTGGCAGGTCTTTACCTGTAGCACATCACAATCTTCCATATCTTTGACCAAAGCTAACATTAGTGGCTTTCTTTTTTTTAAAAAATCAAGTATTAGAAACAATGCTTGTATTTCTATTTGCTACTGTTCCATGTTCAATGGGTAGACTCCTTTTATTTAAGAAAAAACACTGGATGTTGTTCTGGCCATACATTTGTTCTTGATATTTCTTTATGATTTAATAGAATTCGCTGCTGTGTTGAAGCAACCTAGAAAATAATCAGTAGCACTGGAAAACTTTTTTTTCCTTTTTTTCCCCCAGTCTTACATGTGTACTCTCTGAAAAGTGGTTATTTAACGCTATCTAGAAGAACTGCTTAGTGTGATCTGCGTTTACCTTTATTGCTACCCTTCAAACCAGGAGCCATGCTGATACTCTTGAATTCAAGAAGTGTGTGCTTCAAAAAGCACATAACTCTGGAAGATCTGTGATTTTTATCTTCTCACTTCCTTTCAAAGGAGCTGATCAAACGTTATTTCTTATACTTCAGACAGAGCTTGGGATCAGTGCCCCATAGATGCAAACTGCAGGAGCAGATGAGCACTTCTTTTCTTTGACAACCTGGTACGTAAATTTATGTATCAATTCTTTATTGGGTAGGAAACAGCAGGGTCCCATTACAATCTGGTTATAATAATGAAAGCTCTGAGACCACAACCGTGATTCATTTATTTTTATAACTTTGTATTGTTTCTGCTGTTAGTTGCAATTTCTCTTCTATCTGTGTTTTCTTTAAAGTGCAAAGGTTCACTGCTCGATAATCAGTTTTCCTTTAAAACTTTAGTTTCATTTCAGTCTTTTATACTTTGCTAAAAACATATTTATTACATAGTATAGAAGAAATAACATCTTTGGGGTTTCTCTTCCTGCAAGTTTTAAATGTAGCAATAAAGCAAGTTTCTTATAGCACGCCTAGACATTTGTATGTCTAATACATAAAATTCTATTGCACTCTGAAGACATGACGTACACAAATTTTCCTCTTAACAATAACCTACCTTTCTGTTACTACAATTCTTGTCTCAGTCACTCATGCTGTACTTTTCTTGTGTGTGTGTGTCACCAACCCTAAACCTAAGTTAAGTGAGCCAGAATCAGTAAGCAAATGGTAATTTGCTATGGCTGTCTCATATTCTTCAGTAATTCCATAAGCAATCAGTTTCCTCACTGGTCAAAATCTAATCATCTCTATATATGTGTGACAAATGTATGATTTAAACTTCTAACACTAAAGATATCAGCTTACAATCAGCTCTCTGTAATGCTCAGATTTTAAGGATGTTAAGAAGAATTGATAAATATCAAAACATAATGTAGTGTTTATTAATCACTATAGCAGCAAGATGCTCAGGTTAGCCAACACGTGTCTTTATCTGCCATGGCCTGTTTATTCCAATTTTGCTAATATTTTTCTTCCAGAAATATTTTCACGAGTGACTCATTCTGAGTCTTGGCCTTTCTTTATATTTGGCATATTCCTATCCTAATTTCTTAAAAATGATCACTTCCACTGCTGTAGTTTTGTACGCATGCTTATGGACTGAATGCTTTCTCTTCCTCACATATATATTAAAATGTAGATTAAGTTACATTATTAAAGTGGATTATGCATATATCTACAAAATAGACATCTTTGCAGGTTTTTTGTAATTTATATCTTTCCCTTTTTAGTATGTTTGCTTCTATAAATCTCAATGCAATATATAAGCATTTTTAAAAATTACTTGCGTTTAAAATGAAAATAATGTTTAAATAATTTGCTTTATGCTTACTTATCCTCTTTCAAAATATGATTACAAACACATTTTTCCTAATCCATGCCTGCTTAGTTTCCCACTTTACCTGTCATGTCTTATATTAGAAATACTTATGATCAACTCCTAAAATACCTAATCTTTTATATGGTATCTAAGAATGGTTCTCATGTTTCCTTTCTATTTTTCTGTACATATTATGAGTTCTAACACTGGTAGTGAACAACCTCTTAACTTCTTGTCGCAATACTGTCATTAGAAATGTGTTCATAAGCTGGTTGCAGAGGTAGATTTGCAGGAGAAAAGCAGCTTCACCTTGGAACTTGCACACGGAGTTCCCATTCTGAAATCAGAGTATTTGCAGTTCTGATGGACTTGCCAGTAGTAGTTACTACATAAATACAAAACTGCTCCACAGAAGGATGTTCATGCGGCCCTTACCTGTGGTCTGTCACTAACCTATGATCAAGAATATAACTCTCCCTGTGCTATTAGTACTGCAAGAGGATCAAGATAATTGCATTTTTAGTACTGTCCTTTCCTGAAACTATGCATTTCTGATTGTGCTCTGGAATCGAGTAACAGTTCACTTTAAATTTTCATTTAATCTGAAAAGAAAAACCTTTTGCAAATATCTTTCTCCATTTCTGTGCTTTGTGCAGAAGAAAATGAACATGGTGTGTGATTTTAATGCAGTGAAACTTCTAAAGCCTTTTAATTGTTTATAATAACAATTAATTGTTATATAATAACAGTTATGATAATGTATAGAAAAAGACTTATGAGGTCAGAAAACAGCTGAGATGTAGATTCTGTCTGCACACCCAAAGAGGGGGAAAAGAAGCCGTAGCTAGTATTGTTTAAATTTCAGTTCTGACTTTATATTCCTAAACGTCTATCTATTTTATTTACCTCTATTGACAAAAGGATAGTTAATACAGGGAAAGAGAGTGACAGGGGGCCCATGTAAAGTCACTGGTCACAAAGTAAGAAATATACTTGTGACTTATGGACGTTCTTTCTAGAAAGCAGAAAGAAATCAGAGTGGCTTGTGTTGGAAGGGACCTCAAAGCCCTGCCAGCATCAACCCCATGCTATGGGCAGGGCTGCCACGCACCAGCTCAGGCTACCCAGAGACCCATCTGACCTGACCTTGAGCACTGCTGGGGATGGGGCACCACAGCTTCCATGGGCAGCTGTGCCAGTGCCTCACTGCTCTCTCAGTGGAAAAAACTTCTGACATAAAATCTAAATCTCCCCTCTGGTAGTTTAAAACCATTCCTCTTGTTTATCACTATCAGACTGTGTAAAAACTCTGTCCCCTCCTGCTTGTAAGCACCCTTTAAGTACTGGAATGCCACAATATGATCTCTCTGGACCCTTCTCCATGCTAAAGGAGCCCACTTTCTCAGTCTGTTTTCATAGGAGAGGTGCTCTAGTCATCTGATTATATTTGCAGCCCTCCTCTGTTCCCTTTCCAAGAACTCTGCATTTCTCCTGTACTGGAGTCCCCAGGCCTGGGCACAGTTCCCCTTGATGGGACAAGGTGGCATGTTTGTTCAGTAGTTATTGTAGCTGCTATAGCTACAGGTGGTATTTGGTATGGCTTGGTATTGTGCACATTTGGAAAGGAAATAGCACTGTACCAGTGTTGTAACTTTTTCCTACTGGAGAGAAATAATCAGGATTTGCTAGATGTATCATAAAGAGATGATCCATTCAGATCTAAACTGTTATCCGTGAAGATTTTGATTTCACATACCCACTGTGACCAAAAAAAAATCTTTTCATTTTGGAGTTAGGAGACAATGACTGATTTATTTATTTATTTATTTATTTATTTATTTATTTTTTTACAGTAGTGATCAAAAAATAGCTGCTATATGATATATGGAAAAATATTGGACAAAAGCATGACCAAGATGGTTATCTTGCTGTCTGTCGAGATAGTTCATAAGCATAAAATCACTGAGAACCTTAAAAGAAAAAAAAATCATAAATGTATCTGCAATTTTACATGTGATTTTCATTAAGATACAAACTCTGTAATTATGTATGAGAACTCATCAGTTAATCCATATTTGAATTACTATTCATTGTAACAGTTAAGGAGGTTAAGCATGTGAGCAAATAAACTTAATTGATTTTTTTTTTTAAGCTCTGAACTCGGAGAAAAGGCACTACAGCAATGTTAGTCTCTTTGTGACTATGAATACAATCAAGTTTTCACACTATATTTCATGTTCTGTTTCTCAAGCATTTTCACACACTTGAAATAATTTAATTTCAAATACTAATGACTCAAGAGAAGAGAGTGTTTTCCTTACCTTCACAAACTTCAGTTAACTCTCCGGATTAAAATAATGTGGTAGATGTTTCTACCAAGCAGGTCAAAGGTTTAAAAACAAACAAACAAACAAACAAAAACCACATTTCCTTCTTATATTATCCCCTTTTAATTTTTTTAAAGTTATTGAATCTTCTTCAGTATCAAGTCCTTCTTAAATATATCTTCATATGCTTTCTGCAGTAGGTTGCATATGCAATATGACCCCGAACGCAATTGAAGAATACAGATTTGGGAAAAGTTTGTAAGAGATGATCTTCATTTCAAATGGTTATAGATACGTGTAAACTGGAATTCAATTTCCCAGACACTTACGAAATATCCATGCTTTAAGTATTGATATATAAACATTTGTTTTGTACTTTCCTAAAGTTTGAAGTGACTGTGATAATTTGAATTTTAGAGTATAGAACTTTGGAAATCACTCTCCTTTAGCAATGAAACTAAAAAGTAAAAAACCATGCAGTCTTATTTCAACAATTTTGTAGGTGATTTCATGAGGTTAAAAAATGTTTTGAAATGTCAATCTTTAATTGATGTCAATGCTTCCAGCTACTGGTGGAGGGTCGCAAATTGTTCAGAGCCAGTGTTTTTTCTTTGGCTCATGCAGTTGAAGCTGGAAAATCATCTGATTTTTCCAATTAGAAGTGTTAAGATGACAAGAAATGAACAGAACAAGGACACTGTGTATGATTATAGGTGGTGGATAACATTACCTGCAAATTAGACTGTGTAAAGCTTTCAAGTGTAGTGCAAATGGCTTGAGTTTTATGATTAAGTGTAGAAAAAATTGTATCTGTTCTCCTGTGAAAAATGAGGCTTTTTTAAATAAAGGTGCAGTCAAAGGAGTAACCTGAAATTTTGCCAGGAGCTGGCCTTTGCTTCTTTTGTTAATCTCATTGAAGCCTACTTATCATTAATCAAATCTTCAATTACAAATAGAGTGCAGATAGAAGTCCATGGTGGCCGTGAATGACTTCCTGCATCTTAACAAGTGAAAGATAACTCTATATCAATCAAGATAGCTTTTCTCAGTTCGTGGTAATAAAAAGACCAAACAGCCTGATGTTCTATGAGGCTACATCAGAAAAATTACATTTCCCACCAATCTGAGCTCTAGAAAGAAAAACTAGCAGGTAAACTAGCAGGTACTTTGCCTCAGATCAGTATTCCCACTTACCTTGATGTCAGATATATCGTGGAAGAGTAAGACTGTCTACACATCTGTGGCTTGTTGAAGTCATTAAAAGCAGGAAGTAGTTCCTAAAATGACTGGAACATGACCAGAACATGTAAGGATGTAGTGCATTATTACAGAGAGTGGCACAGGTTTGACACTAATGAGCATCCACATCTGCCACGCTGTGTGAGCAGTGAAACGAACCCAGAGGTGGGGGAACAACTAAATGAGGGGAAAATAGTCTTGCTGTCATCTTGTCTATAAGAATTTTTGAAATCTCCACAGAAGGATTTTTAGGAATTTCTAGGTTTTTAACTTTTTCTAAATCTCCTCAGCATTTTCCAGCATGTAAAGGATGACTTTACCACTTACCAATATTAATCTTACAGGAAGAATTCCATCTTCTTATAGTTGTTAACTGGCATTATAAACACTTCTGTCATAATATAGAATAAAAATTCTGTCTTAAAAAATTGTGATACTCAACCAGAAAAAACATTCAGCAGAAGTCTGTTCAGCTCAGTGACAAGTATCTAAACTTTAAAGATGTGTCCAGCCCATGGGCTGCTTGTGGCTCTAGAGAGCTAATAATTTGACCACAAAGGATTGTAAACTTTTAACATTATTATGTTATGGTTTTTTTAAAGTTATATTTTTAATGAGTCAGTTCTGCGTAGCTTCAGTGTGACTGGTGTAGATAACAAAGGAACATTGCAGAAAGGAGGGTGCAGTGCTAATTCTGCCTTTCATGCCCACCACACGTTCAGTTGAATTGCCATATGTAATACATGCAGGTTTCACATGCTTAAGCCAGTTGGTGAGTAAAATGCAGTCATTGCTGATAGCAGTGTATCAACCTAGTTATATGTGTTTGTGACTGTGAAAGCATATATTTTCCCTTATTAAGCAGACATGTAAGTTTTCTTGTTTAATAATTAAATTTGGGTTTGTGTCTTTTCTTAAAATAACTTCATAACAAGTTAACTGCATTAAAAAATGCCCAGAATTCTCATCAATACTTCAAAAAGCTTACAAAAAATTTAAAATATTTTGTGATGTATTTTTGGTGGATTTGATTGATTGTTTTTTTGTGGATAAATTAAACGTCTTCAAGTTGAAAATCAACTTACATATAATGTGTTCCAAATCATAACAGTGTTTTCCATAATTTAAGCTTTATTTCAAACACAAATTAAGGCAATTTTTTAATGCATTTCGATATGTTAAACACATTCCTTTGAACAGTGAAACAGAAAGCATAGCTGAATATTTTTCAATACAGGAATTTGGGAATAGTTTTCAAGATTTCTCAAAAAAATTTTTTTTTGTTATATTCTGCAACTTAATTTTAAGTTAACGTATATACATTACCTGTGAATTTTCAAATGGAATATATGTAAAGTTGCAATCACACTTTCAACTCAAAGAAAAAATTGATCTTGTCTCTTTAGTAGACTTTTTAAAGCCCTATTTTACCAGGGAGGAATATCCCTCACTTCCTAATTATGCCTTTTTATAGTCTTTGCTCTCTGGCAGTATGTACATTTATGAACAGCTATTTTCAAAGATATGAAGTGTGACAACAGAGAAATGTCATCAAAATCCCTGATGAACACCTTGATAACTCACTGGTAGTTGCAGCCATTTCCATTGAGCTAGACACTGATGCATTAGTTTCATAAAAATGGGGTCAAATGTTCCACTAGTTTTGTTGCCTTTTTTTTTTTTAACATTTTAATAGAAAAATATAGAGAAAGAAAAGTAGTGTTTCTTAATGTACACTGAATCTTATATATTTTTATTTATATAATTTATTTATATAATTATATATTTATATAATTATTTTATATGTGGCCCAAGATAAGGCTTCACTCAAGTGAGGAGGAATTTGCTTTGTATAGAAACAAGTATTTACTGTGAACTCTTCAGAGTATTTTTTTTTTTTTTTTTTTTTAATTTTTAAACTTCTTTTGGTTTTTTAGGACCCCAAATCTTATGGTTGTTTAATGTAAGTGTGACTTTCATATCATTTTTCACTTTATTGACTCGCTTCTTACAATATAAGTTCAACATTATTGTGTGATCAACTGATAAGTATTTTCTCAAAAAATTAATCTCCAAGCCAAGAGTCAACAGCTTAATAATGGAAATCTACAGACTATGGATCTGTAGTCTAGTTTACATTATAAAATAAATCAGAAGCTTAAGAGCCTATAAAGTTTATTCTAATTTCTTGAGAGTAATAAAAGGAAAAAATGAAGTAATAAACTGAACATATGATGATTATGCAACTTTGGACTGAATGAGTTCTCTATGTAATAACTTATGCTATTCGCATTTTGCTTTGTAGCATATTTATTTCAATTTTTATGACACTGCATAATCATGAAGTAGGAATTGAATCACTCCATCCAGGCACATGGAATCTAAGCTCAAGTACAAATATAATTACATACTATGTTGTAATGATGTGGTCATTATATTGAGAAGAAAATGTTATAAAACTTTAAAAACCTTAGTAATATCTCTTCATTCAAAAACATGTAATTGAACAGATTGTGGGAGATATTGATATAGAAGTCACTTACCTCGCAGAAATATTCTTACAATTTGACAGCAAGTACAGAAAATTAATGTAATGTCATAATTCAGATTAAAAATATTAATTTTACTTGCTGCCAGATAGTTCAGGTAAAAGTACAGAAAGATGATGTTACTGACATTATGATCAATTTCTCTCTGCTCCAGCTCTTACTGCTCTTTCCCTCTTATAGTCCTGTATGGTGACACGTCTTCATCTCTTTTCCTGAAAAGGGAACAAAATCTAGTTGATATTTTACTACTGAAACAGTTAAATATAAAATTTTAAGAACTAAATATGAAACATGAAAGTTTTCATCTTTCTTTTTGAAGTAGATATTTATTTTCATTCATTACCCAAATTTATGTGCACAGTGCTAATTTACAGAGAGTTTCTGGAGTCAGGCATTGCTTCTCGTATCTCTTCCTCAGTTATGGAAATCTGAAATTCACAAAACAATCACTGATCTTTCATGGAATCATCAAGTTATGTTCTAAAGCATAGACATGCACCAGACCTTCTTCATCAATACCATTCCAGAGATCACTGAAAACATATAAAATTAACACTACAAAAAAAATATATGTATAAAAATTATGGTGCTAAAAATTCAATCAGCAATCTTGTCTTTCCATGTAAATTCCTTTGACTGAAATTCTACTGTACAAACAGAAAAAGGGGATAGAGGTATTTCTTTAAATGTTACTTTTTTCTCAAGAGCTTTGAGTCTTGAAAATAACTTGGATCATAAGTGATTCACTCATCTGCACGAGTTCTTTCATGACTCTGCAGAGGCAAAAAACTAGCTTATAAAAACATGAATTGGTGCAGCAACTGTTCTAAAGCAGGCTTTGTGGAGCATATAGCTCAGGTTACTTTGTATCTCTGTCAGTCCAAGCTCAGATTTATATTTTCAGTTTGTATTCATATATCACTAAAGATTTTCTGAAGTGAAGCATCATTTACCTTCTGCGTTATTTTTAGTAGTTACGTTGTGAGAGGCGTTACTAGAAGTTACTCTTCAGGCCTTTGAAGACTGCTTTCTCTTCACTCTTAAGATTTTACATCAAGCAGTTTTTTACCACTCCTATATTAATGTAAAAATGATTTTGCCCTTCTTGTTTTCAGATAAGAAAACTTTAAAAACTATTTTTAAAATGAAAGAAAAACAGTTTTCCATTATCTTAAGTGAACATTTCTATAGTTTTTAACTTGTAAATATGTGGAAAATCTGCCTTTCTCATGTGAAGGAAAAAAGATGCTAGAGAAAATTTTAATCAATCACATCCCTTCATTTAAAAAATGAACATGTAGAACAGAGAAGCAATACTTTGTTTCAACTTAGTGTGTTCTGGGCTACTTTCATTTTTTACAAAACCAATTTTCAATCACAAGTAACCAATATTTAAACTTGTTAATTCATTACTAATTATTTTAGTGTTAAGAAGCATCTATTTTAGACAGTAGCACCTGAAATGCTAAAAATTTGTTCACGTAGCAGCAGAAAAAGCTTATATAACAAACAAAATGATATAATGGAAAATCTTTGCTGTGACAATTTCTATCAGTTTTCAAATAGCCCATTAAAACTGGAAAGTGTAGATCTACATATGAAGTATGTTTTCTTTAAAAAGAACCTTTGGTGATTAAAAAAAGATAGTAAAAAATATTCTGTGATGCATGACCTTAATTCTTTTCAGAGAAATTTGTATATGAATATGTAAGTCACAAACTAGTAAATTTGCATGTTGTAAATACTGGAATAGAGAAAGAGGAAGTAAAGCTGTTCAGGGTAGGCCAGTAGTGCTAGGGATTTAAATGTTGTTAAGCACTGCATGGTATAAAATCTGCTGTTAATAAGCAGATCACAATGTTCAACCTTAATAATGGGTTACAGCTAGTCCAAACGTTTAACATGCAAATGTATGAATCCTTCTTTGATTTGTGGCTCAAAGCTTGCTTCCTGAGGTATTTCTTGTCATAAGACTGACTTGTCTAGGAGCTGAGAGATGGGTGTTGCCGTGTGGCAATCAACATCACTGTGTGGACAATTTTATACTTGAAAGCATTTGTTTGGAGCAGTTTGCCTTTGAAAAAGAGTGCCCAGGATTGTTTACTGGCAGAAGATCTAGCCTGTGACCAAATAACTCCAGCTTGCCTTGGGAGATTAGGAGATGATACCATCATATCCTGTGAAGGCAAGATACAAGTTGGTGCCTCCCTGCTCCCTCTTATCTACTGGCAAGGCCCAGAAGCTGAGAACAAAAGGAGTTCCTGCTGAGATCCAAAAGTGAGAAGCTGTCCCTCCAAAAAGAGCTGATTCAACCACTTTGAACTTATAGATAAATTTCTACTACCACTGGAAAGAAGTCACCATCATTGCTGTAGTCATCGATGTTGTCAACAGAACAACAATGCTGATGACCCACCACTGCTGAAGACTGTGCTACAAACCACACTGGATCCATGGTGGTGACTATCTCCCTCTTGCTTCCTATAAAGAACTCCTTGCTTCTTTCCTGTCTTTTCTATTGCCCTTCTTCCCTTCCCCATCACCCTAATTAAGATTTGTAAAAAACTGGTCGGACCAACATTTAAACCATTGTTTCTTAATCTCATGCCAGGTTTACAGGTATCAAAGAACCTCTTCTCCCTCCTATAAATTGGAATTCCTAAAGGAATTCAAACTACAGACCATCATGACGAAAATAATCACTGAATTTAGAATGAAAATTGTTTCCCTGGGTAAGTCCTAAACAAAAAATCTATGAAAATGAGAAGTCAGTTCTCAGTAAGCTTGGAATCAAGCAGAAAGTTGTTATTATATGCCAGTAAATTGTGCTTGCAGCTCAGAAAGCTGATTGTGTCATTGGCTGCATCGAAAAAAGTGTGGCCACCAGGTTGACGGAAGTGATTCTCGCCCTCTGCTCCACTCCCATGAGAACTCATCTGGAGTGCTGTATGCAGGACTGGGGCCTCCAGCATAAGAAAGACATGAATCTGTTAGAACAAGTCCACAGGAGGGACACAGAGGTAACTGGAGCAATGGAACGTCTCTCCTACAAAGAGAAACTGAAAACGTTGAGGTTGTTCAGCACAGGGAAGACAAGGCTCTAGGGAGACTTAAAGCAGCCTTCTAATACTTAATGGAGCCTACAGGAAAAATGAGGAAGGGACTGTTTATCAGGTAGCAAAAGAGTGTTGCAACAGAATAAGGAGGAACAGTTTTAAACTAAAAGGCATAGTTTAGATTAGACATTAAGAATAAATTATTTACAGTGAGAGTGGTGAGGCAATGGAACAGCTTGCTGGGAGAAATTGTAGATGCTCCATTCCTGTAGTGTCCAAGGTCAGGCTGAACGGGGATTTGAGCAACCTGATCTAGTGGAAAGTGACTCTGCACATGGCAGGAAGGTGCAAATGGATGATCTTTAACGTCCCTTCCAAAACTTACTCATTGTAAGGGAACAGCAGTATCAGCTCAATGTTCATGAGTCCATGGACCTGATGAGATTCACCCTAGAGAACTGAAGGAATTAGGAGATGATACTGATGAACCTCTCTCAGATGGGATAGGGCTCTGAGCACCTAATCTACCTGTAGGTGTCCCTATTCATTGTAGGGGAATTGGGCTTTTCTAATTCAAACTGAACTATTCCATTCATTATCTTACACTGTCAGTGACCTATGAGAAGTCTTTTTTTTCTGTTGCTTTTTACTTGATGGTTATAGGTGTAATGAATTGCATTAACTTTTGAATAAAGGCTTGGTGAGGGGGAACAATTTTCAGTCAAACAAAACTTGTTAATACACAATTATCACCTTCCTGTGTCAAAGCAAACTTTTCTTTTAAAATAAAAGAAAAACTTTTCTGTTTATGTGTCCCCCAAAAGCTATTTGCTCTAGTCAAAAAGCCCCATATATTGAAGTTTCTGATACAATATTCAATTTTAAGTGTTTGTTTTCTATTTTTAGACAGGATTAAAATTGCCATCTGTGTCCCCTAATTTTCTTTTAGGTGTGAATTCTACATCACATTTCATCATTAATGCAACGAAAGATGCAACACTTAAAATCTAAGTAAATGATTTGCCTCCTTTCTTAGTCTTTAACTGGGAGATATCAGCAGTTCTTGTGAAGATACTCCCCTGAATTACGACTTATATTTTGATATCTTTACATTCTTCTTTGAGTCAGCTCTCTTCTTTGCTGTTCTGCTCCAATATCCAACACTCTTGAGGTTGTTTCACCGTCTAAGGTAAAGCAGCTGGTAAATCCCTGAAGCAGAGAAGTTCAGATGCAGGCAAAGGGGTGACTGCTGGGATCAGCAGCCTTCAGGCAGAATGGACATGAGCTGCACCGTGATTTATGCCTCTGCCTGAAGCAGCCTTCCAGCAGGCTCTGCTCTCCCACACGCAGCCCGTGCTGGGTCCAGCAGGATATAAATGCAAAGGTCAGTGTTCCTGGAAACAGGTCTCATTGTGTACCTACATGTTTAATCCGCCACTGAGATGATACAAAGAAAGGCCCAGCAGAGTACTAAACTTCCCTTGTGTAAAGATTTATTGCTGAGGGACATAGAAGAACCTCTTTTCTGGCAGAGTACTGGTTCTCACCACAGCACTGAGCAATGTCATTTGAAATTGAAAATGTCAGAATTCCACACTTTAAGCTGCAGCTCTGTTGTAGCTAAGCAGTTGTTTATTATCTTGACTTACCTCAGTCATTTGATCACATAAGATGAAAGTCGCAGTCCTTTGCATCCCTTTGGGGCCTGAAATGGTCACCACGCAACCCAGAAGATCTAAAGACTGGTTCATGTCTTTGTAACCTCAAGCTCATCCTTCTGTCTCCCTCAAAGGTATCACAGTCTTCACTCCAGTTGCCCTTCCCAGAGGCAGGGAGGTCGGCAGGAACAGAGCTCTGAGTTGGGCATAGGTGTTGCATATCGCTTTGGTTGCTTTGCTTGAGGAACAGAGGTGAGTTTGTGCCAGTGGTCAACTTTTGGCAGCCAGGAGAGTAGCTCCATAAAGCCACAGCATCTGAAGGTGGGAAGAAATTTCCAGAATCATCTTTCCCTTTCCACCTCTGCAAAACAGGAGAAGTGCTTTTGTCTCACATGTTCAGGGTATAGTATACCCATTACCGAAATATGTTCTTTCTAGGTATGTAGGAGGTTTCACTATAGCATACAGTTCTATTCTAACTGTATAAATGGTCTCTCCTATGAATTGAACATTAAAAATCCATTTCATGTCCCCTTGGACAAATACCAAACAGCAGTGTTTTCTTTTAATGAAGAACTGAGTCATTCATGTCAGTGACCTAGATAGAAAATGTGCCTGACCGTATCTTTTTTGATATGTCTGAAATGAAAAACAGGACTGCTGTTGTCTTTGGATATCTGTGTAATAGTAAATATATATTCATTGATGTTAGAAAAAAAAATATAAGCATTTTTAAAAACATGGACTCACAAATATTTTTCTTTTATGAATATATCATTGCCCTAAATAGTAGAGCACTGTCAAACTTGAATATGTTTTTTTCCCAGAAGTCCATGCAAATGAGTGCTTCCTACAGCTCCTTTTACAAAGCTGCCTTAAAATGTTGCTTTTATGACAGAAAACATCTGAAATCTAGTTAAACTCTATTGCCAAACACTTTCACCTTTATAAATATGGTATGATTGCTTTGGTTAACTGGTTATTCATAATCTGTTGTGGATTCTTCTAAAGTAATTTTTATATGTGATTTTGGGAGAATCAGGTATTTCAAACCATATGTATTGATAATGAAAGTAGGGGAAAACTCAATTGCTTTTTCCTTCTTAAAAGCACTGAGTTTTCATGTAACAGCCATGAAGACCACTTTCTTAGAAGAAAAGAGCTGGCACTCTGGCAATGCTGATGTCATGGGACACTATGCAGGGGAAAAGTGAGAGCTGTTGCCCCCGTACATCTCCGTCCACAGCTGCTAAGGAAAGGTCACTGCCAAGAATGATTTCACCCCATATATGCTTATAAATTATGGTATCCTTTGGGATAAAATGGCCAGCATACAACTAGACAAATAAATAACAAGATGAACGGTTGTCTGACAGGTCAGGATCAAGGGGTCATAGCAAATGAGGCTACGTCAGGCTGGCAGCCAGTCATTAGCAGGGTTTCGCAGGGCTCATTTTTTGGGCCCCTTAGATACAGGACTTGTAGATACACTATGTAAGTTCGTGAATGACACTAGGATAGGAGGAGAAGCTGTTGACTCTCTCAAGGGTGAGGAAGCCTTGCAAAGAGATCTGCTGCCATTTGGGTGCCACAGTATAGGAAGGACATAAAACTATTACAGAGCATCTAAAGGAGGGCTCTGAAGACAGTGAAGATATGGAAGACAAGACACATAAGGAGTAGCTGAGGTCCCTTGGTTTGTTACAAGCAGGAAGGAAATCAATTTTTAAAAAATGGGTAGATAGTGACAGGGCAAGGCAGAACAATTTTAAACTAAAAGAGAGGAGATTTATGGTATAGATGTCAGGAAGAAGTTATTTACTCAGAAGATGGTGAGGCACTGGCATAGGCTGCCCAGACAACCTGTGGATGACCTGCCTGTGGAGACATTTAAGGCCAGGTTGGATGGGGCCCTGGGCAGGCTGATCTGGTGGGGAGCAGCCCTGTCTATGGCAGCTGGAACTAGGTAATCTTTAAGGTCCCATCCAACCTAAGCCATCCTATGATACTATGATTCTATGAATGAGTCTGTGTAAGAGCTCATTTTAAGGTAATAGACACCGTATGCATGATTTTTAAGTACTGAATGAATTTTACCACGTTTATGCAATATGGTTATCATTACTTTTCTTGTTTCACAGACAGTAGAAAAAAGACAAAAATGTTAATAAATGCAGTATAGGATTATGGATGAACAGTTAAGACATGGAAGACAGTTAAGTCAATATTTATACTTTTAAATGACTGGATTTTGAACATCCAAAAATACTGATCTATGGATAAGATTTGTTCTCCAACAGAACCATCAGTGAGCAGTTAACTGTATGTTCCTGATTAAAGACAATTAACTCAGACAATTAAAGATCTCTGTCACTGCACGTCCATATCATTGTACCACCAAAAATTTAGATATTGCCATGTATGTAATATTTCACTGGTATGTTTTCAGACACTCTCTTTTACAGTCCCTGTTTTAAAAGTAGGTGGGAAGGTATTCTGCATAGCTTCAGAGGACATCTCAGTCTGTTTTATAACACTGTATTTTTCTAAACATGAAAATGAATGTGAAGTTTCATTTCTACTCAAATGCAAATTACTCTGAAAACTGCATATCAAAGGATTTGCTAGAATATATGGAACAATGGTCCCACTGTATAACAATAGAAGTAATGCTTTTAAATAATACTGTGTCACCCTAGGATTATTTTTTTACAGTGTAATCTAAGTAATAAAGAATGATAATGCCTAGTAAAGTAATTCAAATTTTGATACCTATTACAGATTCTTCTATTAAAATAAGTCATTTTTTCCAGCATTTTTTCATAGTAGTTGCTGTAAGTCTCTTTGTCATTTACTTCTTCAGTTCTCATTTATATTCCCCAATACTGTCACTTTCTTCTTTTTTTTTTTTCTTTCTTTTAAAAGATGCTTGTAATCAATTTTTTTTTTTCTTTCCCTAGCAAACTCATTTGTTACCAGCATTCCACATTTTATTTCATGTATCATTTACGGCTTGCTGCATTGCAGCCCTAAAGGCACTAGGTAGGTTCTAAAGAAAAAAATCAAACTCTGGTAGCAAGATCCTTTTATATTTGTGGTCATGGTTTTCTTGAGAATGTTAATGAAGAATATCGTCCTAAAAGCATCTCTAGGATTTTGGTAGGGTATATCACAATGCAATCTTAGTAAACATCCCACAGATGTACATCAGAAAAAGTGAGAAATAAACATGTTGACACCCTAATCAAACACTGCATATTGGTGCACTGATGATACACAGAAGAATGCAGACACAGTAACTACGGAAAGGTCAATCAAGGATCAAAACAATGTTTTGGAAGCAAGAATGGATATCTGCAGTTGTTATCTTTAATAAATTCTTTTGACACAATGTCATATCACATGTGGGACTATTTCTCATAGTGAATAGTGATATACCTGAAAGTAAAAGTTTATCATTCAGTAAATCCACCTTAAAGGTTTGTCAGAAGGCATCTTGAGGAATACCTTTTTCATTTCAGTATCTCTGTGCATCCGTATTTTAAGAAAGTCTGATGCTACAGGGCTTGCTTCAAAAGTAAGGCCTCCTATTTTATTACGTTGGCATACAACGAGGCAGATGTTGGTGTTGTGGCAGTAGAGATTGAACCTTCCCACCAGTATTACGCCACATTTTGCTGCTGTGTGATGAATGCCAACAGAGCGGCAGTCTGACACAATGACATTAGACATGGAAGTGCATGTAGAGCAAAAGTGTCTTTGAGTCCTCCATGTGGAAAAATCGACCCCTGACACTTGTTTATGGAGATCAAACAGTGGATGTGAGCACAGTGAGGCAGTGGGTGGTGTGTTTCAACAGTGACTACAGCAATGTGGGGCACAGGCCACATTTAGGTTGGCCATACAGATTTTGATGAGCATGGCATGCAGGTTCTTGTTCATCACAGGCAAAAATGCATAGCTAACGGTGGTGCCTATGTTAAAAAATAGTGTTTCATAGTCAAGAATTTGCTCTATTAAATAGTGTTGTTGTGTTCATTGTATCTTCTGTAGTTTTTATGGAAATAAATAGGAGGCATTACTTTTGGAGCAGCCTAAGTACTTTCTTAATATTAGACATTCCAGATAGTTAAATACAAATTTTCACAATACAGATCACTGTTTTGTTTGAGGTTTTCTGTTTCGTTTTGATATTTGTCTTTTTTGTTTATTCCTCATTATCCATCAGCACAGCATTTGGTCTCAATTACAAGAGGATTATGAGCACAAGATGGAGAGAACTGGCTTTAGTTTTGCTTGTCTACCTACTGTCTACCAGGCTCACTTAATTGTGTAGTTACATAAGCTATGTTCAAGCATTAACATAGTGTATTTTTGAATACATCCATTCAATAGTTCAAAGTATATATGAGCTGCTTCAAAAGAAAACAACTGCATTCCCAATGAAAAAAAAATCAAAAACAAAAGTGAAAACTCAAAAACAGGGGTTTCAAGACAGAACAAACCAAATCAACCAAGGCAATAAAACAGAAAACAAACAAACAAAGCAAAAGCCAGTGTTAGAAATCTTGGGAAAGTAAGAAACTTTAAGAAGTGCCCTGAGTTTCAAGATCATTACACATCCAGTTATTAAAAAAAATTAACATAGTCCAAAATATTTTGTACTGTTAAAAATTCCTTAATACAAACTGATGGACACTGAGATGAGCCAACCTAATATTTTCAGTTTTCTCCTATGAAATATTTACTGTTAAGTAGATAAGTAACTTATATATTCAAGAAGTATTTCAGCATTTTGGAAATCCAAGATGTTTTGAGGAATTAGTGGTCTGCGTACACTGAATAAAACTGTACTTTTTTTTTCCTTTAGATATGATTAATTTTTGATTGCTCATGATATTGATGAAATATTAATGAAATACTTTTAATGGGAATTTAGCCTTTATCTCTACAATAAAGTGACTCTGCTTTTCCTAATTCTTCCTAAAAACAGAGTTCTACAGTGCCTGTATATTGAATCCTAAGTTACCATCTAGCATAGCTGGACAAAAATGGCATTGAGCAGGAATGGATTATAATGTTGTATTTGTTTTTTCTCTTTACCTGAGCAGTAATGCACATCCCTCTGGACATGTATTAGAGGAATTTAAATTAGAGGAAGCAGCTGTTAAAGTTTCAGGTATTTGAATGATACTCTTGTTGTAAAGTCAAGGTCATCACTTCACAAATTAATGAAGCATTAAAAAAATAACAAGACCAAACTGAACAAATAGCTTTTCTTTTTGTTATCTTATGAATAAAAATATAATTTTTTGAGAAGCAGATCCCAGAAAAGACACTGATGTTGAATTGTAAAGCAAT